GCCAGTCCTCCGGGGAGAAACAAGAAGGTAGGATTAATGCACATGGCCAGCATTAGGGGACCACCTGTGAGAAAAAGGGGAGAAACCAACAGGCTGGAGAGCTGCCAGACCTCAGAGCCAGTTTGACCCTGTCTGAAGTGGGAGGGAGGGCAGGAAGGATGGCTGGTGGCATGTCCTGGCCTCCTGCAGACAAAGGAAGGGTCAGCAAGGCCTATGGGACATCCTGGAGCCCAGGTTGGCCATCAGTGGAGTCCCTTTGGCCTCAGCATCCTGCAGCTCAGCCTTGCTAGGAGCAGCACCCAGGAAGGGAGGCCTCAGGGTCCACATGGAGTTGGATCCCTACCACCGACACAGGCCTCCCCCAGCTATCACCAAGCTGCTGGCCTCTGGGCCTCTTCAGCCACCTGGCCTGGCTCTGGGACATCTCACTACATTCTACCTTTATCCCCAGCAATAATAAAAGTGCTTGTTCTCAGCCCTGCCCAAAGAAGTGATCACCCCACCAGCCTACCCCTCCCTGGCCACACCCTGACCCCTCCACCCAGGGTCCCAGGCAGGAAGTAGATTGGGGCCACCTCTCCTGCAGGTTCTTACACCCCCTGGGCTATCTACCCCCTGGGGTTTGAGCATGGTGTCGTGTCTCCCTCCTTCCCCAGGCCCCACGCCCAGCTCCCACAGGGACTTCATGGGCGGCATCAGCCCCTCAGTCCAGTCTGTCTTAAAATAGACACTGAGGCTTCAGTCCCCCAGGCGAGGCCTATAGACATTTGCAGCCCACCTCCCGGTCCCCAGGAAGCCTGCCCAATGTCTCCAGGATCATTCTGTAAACTCTTTTAAACTACAGGCTGGGCAATGAGGTGATGAGCTCTCCCCAGAACAAAAATACATCACCCTTAGTTCAAAAAGCAGCACCCATCCCCCACATGTGGGGAGAGTACAGTTTTAAATGACTCCACCCAGGGACAAGGAGAGGCTCAGGGTTTCCTGTTTCTTGGTGCTATCAAGTGGTGAGTTAGGTTTTCAAAGAATGGAAATCGTTCAGCATAACCCATAACCCATGGACACAGGCAATAGTGTGGCGGAAACCTGGGGGTGAAG